AAATCTAAAAAGGTTTTCGTTGGAATCGAAATTTACCGGCAATGAAGTTCTCAGTGCGATATATTTGTTGATGTTTTACAGAATTCGAAACACCGAAGGATAATTCTTAAAATAATTATTTCTAAAATATAATTCAATCTAAAACCTGAAAAGTGGTAATCGTTGATAGTTTCTACCTCTTTTTCGTACCAATACGTGGATCTTTGTATAGAATACTAAACATTTAATATGTTTCTCTTAAGGCATATCATTGGAAGCTTCTAATTTTATTGTGTATTTTTCAGTGAATCTCTCAACATTTCAAGCAACAGTGACGAATCGAACAAGTAACTCGTGCAACTTCAATACACTGACATACTTAAATTGAATTGAGAGTGAGAATACAATTTGGTTAAGATATGCATATACTCGTTTATAACTTTATTGTAGTTTTCGTATGCGTATTTTTAGATAAGAGAGCAAAGTGACGAAAATAAGAAAATATTGTTGTATGACAAAACTGTTGGAATGGTTTTCAACAAAATTATTCATACTCCAATATTTTGTTGCTGGCTTTTTAGTATTGTACTGATTGAATACTCAGTGTAGCACACGATTTGCGTTTAATGAGATCCTTGAATTTTGATAACTGTTTAGGAATATTTAAATTCTTGGGGTCTTGACTATTGGCTTTTTATACAACAACATGTTATTTTCACTATAAAAATTAATAGAATTATATGAGAATGATAAATCTAAGCCATCTTTTAGACAAAAGTCCCCTAAGCTTTAAGGATGTTACAAAAGCTAAGATCAATTTCATCAAAATCATCTAATAAAGTGACTCTTTGACATTCCTAGGGTAGTTAAAAGTCAGTGGATAAACTTTGCGGTAGCAATTTGAATATTTCACTTTGAAATTCTTAATACTATATTTATATATACTTGTAAGTACAATTAAGAATTCATGAGTTTTAACGTTATGTAAACTTTGCCATTGATATCAGAAAAAATATTTACCGGTGGCAAACTCTGTTTAATCATTGAAAGGAATCTTAAGTTTTTCTTAAACCGGTTAAGAACTCAAACTTTATTTGTTGAATGAAAAAAAAAAAACAGATTTCGACTCAAAGAGTGTAATTTCTTAGTAGAATACAATTACATTTATGTACATACATATGCGTTTTCCGCGAACACTTGATATGTGAAGTGTTATATACACATATACCTGTGTATTTGATAAGTTTTTACTTTACCTTCACATTCACGAAGTCTTGAGGCGTGACGGTAATGAGTAAAGAAATTTCTATCTCAGCATATATGGTACATATGTGACTGTTATGTACTATATATGTATGCAAATCCCAGTTACTTGTGAACCCATGTGTGTCCGTGGGTGAATGGCACTGTGAGCCAAAGAGAATTTCTATTTCATCTTTGTAAGTGCTTTGACCAATTTGTGAGAGCATCACTTCAAAATTGGTTACTTAATTTTTTCATCCTTCGAGAATGTGCTAGCAAATGGGCAATAATGCTAAAAAGTGCTGAAATTTCTCAGCTACGCAGAATTTTTGTTAATATGGGTGTCACAAGTTTGCAAGCAAAACTAATTAAGTGCAGTTTTAGGAAAAAACAGTTTTTTTTGCAATAAAAAGTAATTTCTTTGACTGTTTTTTAATGAAGCCTTCAGAATAAAAACGTCTTGATTGGTATGTACATATATAGTACTGTAAAATTACTAAAAAACATTTCTCTCTTTTAAAAAGAAAGAATAACCGTAAACTTTTTAAACTGAAATTTATAGAAGAAACTATTACAAAATATATTACGTTAAATAAAGTCAATATTAAAGCACTAGATTTGAAGTGAAGTAATAATAATCTTCTGCACGCAAAAACTAGTAAATAATGTTTTTGGATATATGTATGTATTTAATAGTTCATTAGCTCCTCCTCTCCAAATTTCAACGTCAACAATTTTGAAAATCAATACAACTGAAATTTTTGCAATACGCAGCCACTTTTTCATGTTAGCTCATTCTATATTATAATACAAATTTGATACTACACGCTTGCTTGCTTGCCATGCCACATGTAAAAACATAACTAAATCATCTTGTGATATTTAATATCTTTGCATACAAAATTTTATGCGATAAATTTTATTTTCTTAATTGATCTGTTTTAATTTCGGATCGCTTGCGGCATTTCGGCGCTACATTTGGCCCCACTGCGATACCTTGTTTTTATTACTCATTCGTGTTATACGACAACTGCTACAAATAACTGTCCTTGCATTCATTGTATTATCCCAAAAGCTTTCACTATTATAATTGCTAAAAGCATTTGCATGTGTGTGTGTGTGGGTGGATGGACTGCGAAATTTGGTGTAATTGCTTGAAGTTGTTTTGTCATTGGTGAATTTAATTGCCCCCCTCCCGATACTCGAACTCCGACCTTTTCAATAGACGCACACAATGTATGTATGTATGTATGTATATGTATAGGCAATGTTCTCAAATGTCAGTCATTAGGTCAACCAAAGAAGTCATTCATTTGATGGCGAGTATGTATGTATGTACGTTAATAGAGCTTCATTTGACGGCAAAGACATATCCTTGTTATTAAATTATTTGGTGTTCTTTCAAATTAACCGGTAGAAAGACCAAAATATTTACCTATTAACTTCAAGGATTTCGCGTTACTGTCCAAGCGATCATCTTACAGTCAGCTTGTTTTGGTAATTGAAAATTATTGGCAAATATTAAATAAATTTAGTTTGAATTCGTTTTCGGTTATTAAATGCGAATCAATACATATATGAATATAGACTTATTTAGTAGAAATAGAAAATATGATATATTAAATTTTCAATTCCACTTTAAATTAAAGACACCTGAAGATTGGAAAGTTTGACTAAATTATTATTTTTAAATTTCTGTTTACAAGTTGAACACCGGAAATTTTTAAGAATATTTTTTTAAACATTTTAATAATATTAATTTTTTTTTTAATATCAGTAAAATACCGTATATATGGAGCCCAAATCAATTGTACTAATGTGCCAAAATAGTATAATCAATCATATTCTACTACAGAAATATTATTATAATAATAACTTAGTACGAAAAAACCATTTCAAAATCTATTTATGAAACGGAAAGGGGAACGTGCTTAGTTTTAATATGGATATGCCACTTTTTCCAAAAGGACTTTCGATTATTAAAAATTTGTCGCAATTTTTTGAAATGATTAAAAAATTTGAACACTTTTCTTTAACTGTTTTTAGATAAGAACAACTAAAAACGTTAACTTTACCAAAGCTGTAATACAGTTTGCTAGTGCATGTACATATTTTTGCATAATCTTGATTTTGTTCGGTCAATTTGAATGGCTGATATGTGGTATAGTTGGCCGCCTTGAAAAATATGTTCAAAAACTGTAGCGTTAACTTGGACAATAATCTATGCCGAATTTTGTAAATATAAAATAAAAAATTTTCCATACAAGAAAAGGTTTGTTGTTTGCGGCTATTTTCTTTAGTAGTCCGATATCGACGTTTCCTCCAAATGCACAGCTTCTTGTATAGAAAAGGACTTGTGCCAATTTTCAGATAGATAATTTGGCTAAATCGACTCAGATCAACACGCAGTTCATTTATATATATGTATATACTTTATGGGGTCCCGATGCTTACTTCTGTGTGTTACAAACTTCGTGGCAAACTTAGGGTATATTTAGGGTATAAATAACAAAATTAGAAATGATAAAGCATAAAATCTTCAAAATTCGAGCTTCTACTTGCTTACCATAATAAAATTACTGGCTTTGATTCTTCATATTCAAAACTTGTCGAAAATATCTGTTGGTGGTAATAAAATTTGAAATTAACTTAGCTTATATTATACTCTCGTAACTTGTTGCTACAGATTATAAGAGTTTTGTTCACCTAACGGTTGTTTGTATCATCTAACACTAAGCGATATAGATAAAGGGTTATAAATATACAAGTGATCAGGTTGACGAGACGAGTTAAAATCTCGCCCGTCCGTCTGTCTATTTGTCCATGCAAACGAAAACTTAAATAAAAATTGTGATATCTTAATAAAACTTGCTACATGTGTTCTTTGGCACTCAAGGGAGGTCGGTATTGCAGATGGACGTAACTCAAAACGTTATTACACGAAAACCTATAAAGTGGCGTAACCAAGCACTGAAATAACAAACAAAACTGTAATTTGGTACACGGGACCGCAGTAGCGTTTCGAGTTATATGAAAACAGACTTCATAGACATATAGTTTTTGAGAACGGAGTTATTTTAACATTTTTATAACATAACATAATTGTGGAATCAGAGTGGAATAGCTTGGAAATTATTGTCAAAAGTTTCACTAATAAATACTGCTTACGTCGTTTTTATTACCGACGCCTAAATGTAGGCCAATAAGTTGGTGAATTAAATTCAAATATGCCTATATTCCATAAAACACACAATATTTTCAAATATAAATATCATATTTCCATCATTTGAGGCCTAAATGTATTCAAAGAATTTTCAAAAACTGTTGTTTTAAAAATAAAAAGCCGTTAGGAAATAGAGGTGGGCAGATTGTATTGAATAAAGTTGATAAACATATCAGCATGAGTTTACTGCTAAAAAATAATAATAAAATTTTTCTTTATACTTATTTAATAAATATTTTCAGTTTCACTAATGTTCGCGAATTGCTAAAAATTCGAATGTTTATAAAATATTTAATTACTTTGTTTTTATTTATAGTGCATGTGGCTAGTCAATTATTTGTCAATTTCAGTAAATTTAATGTTCACTCTCCTGGTTTCACCTAAGACAAAAGTAATGCTTCTTTTCTTTTTAATACCAAAAATCATTCTCTTAAATCGTTTATTTGAAACTTTGCACATTTCACAGTCATTGCACTCGAAATGCTTTAGAGCTTATTCACACTTAATCCTTAACTATTATTTCACATTTATACTTAAATTAACTGTTAATACACACCAACACAAGCAATACAGCAAACTGTTGCTTTTTATGCTGAATATTAATTAAGACCGAATACTTGAACGGCTCTAAAGGATATTCTGCAGTGTTTTCTTTTGTTCGCACCACTTTTGACTTAGTTCTGGTTGTATTGCGTTGTTCACAGGTCAAGAGTCGTATAAGTTTTGAAGTTTCACGGTTGCAGCAGGTCCTCTTATATTCAACAGCGGCGGCCAAATGTGTTGATAACGTTGCCAGCAACGACAATAACAGTGTGAAGGCAGCTGATACTTGCTTGACACAAACACAAATACACTCGCATACGAACATACAAAAAGGCCACAGAAGTTTCATTTTGCTTTCAACTCACCACACTCACCATACTCAACACCAACACAATGAGACCGCCAATGGTTCATGTGAAAGCGTCAACGCAGGCGCTGCTTGGCACAGGTATGGCCGTCAATTGGTATGGTAGTTGGTAGAAATTTTGCTTGCAGGTTTGGCGCGCGAATTCACCTACGAGTGTTGGTAGCAACATATTGGATTAAAAATGCGCACATATTCAAATTTTGTAATGCTGAGAATTGTATTTGTATTTGTAGTTAAAGGTTTGTAACAATGTGCTATTGGTTGTGCGTTCGTGGCAGTTCGGCTTTCGTAAAATTTCACCATTGTAATTATTTTGGTATTCAATTGTTTAGTTGTATAAGTATGTTATTATTTGACAATACAAGATTTTTGCTGTCAAGGGATGTTTCAAATTTGAATTAACGGACGTAATTTTCCCTCCGAAGATATCACATATCAAATATTGCATTTTTTCCGACCAATTATTTAATTTTTGTTATAGATTGGGTGCTACTCATCGGTGAGACTTCCCAAAATCGTTTTAAGCTCATAATTATCCTAAAGTTAGTTATAGTTAAAACTGTAAACGGTGTAAAATCATACAATATTTAACTCTCTATAAATATTTTTAATGATTTTCAAAAAATTTTCATGAACGAATCTATATATCATTTGGTTTATGTGGTTGCTGTTTTTTTTTGACATTTCCTGAAGAAGTAAGATCTAAGGAGCTTCAATATTGGCTGAGTTGCTTTACCCTCATAATTTTTCTAATAACTTTGGTAATAGGCGTCCAATCAGATGGTGACCAGTCAGTATTATTAATACTAGAGAAAAGTGTATCTAAAAAAAAAAAAAAACGTAAACTTCCGTTGCAACCAAAGCCATAATATATCTAATTAATTTATTCGGAGATTGTACCGTTGCCTTGAACAATAATCTATGCCCAATTTCGTGAAGATATCTTGTCAAATAAAAGAACTTGATATTGGCCCCATATCAGCGCTTCTAACTCGGCTCTGGCCTCAGCTCATCACGCTGACCAATTATGTATATATGTATATGTATATATAGGGTCTCCAACGTTTCATTTTGGGTGTTACAAATCTCATGGAAAACTTAATACACCGTGTTCAGAGTACAAATATTAATACCATTTTAAGGATTACCAGAACGACTACTTTGTTTTCCGGCAGTACATGTGCAGCCGAAAACTCCTGCTATATCAAGGAAAGTATCTATCAACCCAGCTTTACATTTGGAATCCACCTCTTGGAATCCTACATCTTATGTGCAGATAAATTGACTTTTCCATGTTTAATACAAAAAATAAAGACGGGCTGATGGTTGGAATGTGGGAGCTTCTTAGACCATCTTATTTACTCTAAGAGCCATACTAACTTGACTCAAAGCTCTAGGTAGTGGAATGTGTTAGTAGCAGTCTAATGGGAAATTTTCTAGATTTTTCAAGAGAATAATTATATAAATAAAAGAGAAACTTTAGAGTATAAAGCTGTTGAAAAATTAATCCCAGTTATATTTTTAGTTCAAGGAACAACACTGGTTGTTTATATAATATCAATAAGTCATAGCAATATAAAGTTGTCTTCACAACAGTTCCATAAAAATGTGTGGAAAAGTTGTTACGGCTTAATAACTGTATATTTGCGGTTTTTAATATGAACAATAAGAACTTTTGTGATTTCAAAAAAATAAAAAGTGCAATCAATAGCACAATACAAATGTATGCTTCAGTTGAAACCACATATTGCAATTATAGACATCTTAACTTTTTTAGTTTCACCACCAATATCCATGGGAATATCAGTTTTCCTCCATTATTGAATATAAGGATATGCATGTGTTACTAAACTTAGTAGTGCTATTACCTACATATTAAAATAGGTTAATTTTAATATTTAGACCATAAGACCGAGTTGAAATTTCAGTCGCAAAGCGTCCTACAAATGAGGACGTCAGAGGCAAAAAGTTTGGAAATCGCGGCTGTGGAAAATGTCCGAGGTGTTGACGCCTTCATCTCTGTGAGAATCGAAAGGTTCTATTCTTCGCAATTATGCGTGTTGGTGTCTCATTCGTGCGTCATTGCTTACTTTTATATGGATGTGCAAATACAGTATGTTGGCGAATAAATAAGAGCAAGGAGTTAGAATGCAGTTTGTTTATTATTTTGGTAACGGCTTTTGTCCTTCTAATAGAAGTTAAGTATCGTATAAAAATCGATTAAAAGCAGACAATAAGGGAATAGTAGGTGCTGGTTTGCAATAATTACATATTTTTTGAAGTATGTTCGAGCAGCTTCTTTAACTTGCCTATTTGTATTCTCAAAGAATTTCTGACTATCTGTTTTGGAACTAATTATATATGATGCAAACTCCTTTTGAAGCGCTTTTAGCTAACTGTTCTGCATGTCTACGAAAAATATACACCTGACTGGAATATTAGAACATGAAGGCACCTCAATGAGCACATCTACAGTGAAATTTCCAAAAAAATCGAATTTTTTATACTTGCATATAACGATAGTCTATACCTTCAAAAATAGAATACTAAAGTTTTAAATGAATTTTCCAAATATTATTTGAGTTACAGTCTTCTAACGTGTTCGGTTCGTTAGGGAATTTCGGTCATCTGCATCGGTTATTTTTAAATGAAATTTTTTCGAAACTGCTTTTTTCAAATTACTTGACTGATTTCTTGGATACAAATAATCTAATCACTATCAAATTTTTTCTGCATATTCTATATAAGCATACTTGTACATACAATGATATTTCTTAACAAATATTGAATTTAGGCAGGGCAAATTTTGGGTGAAAATAAACCTTTCGTTCAAAACGCCGCCATTTTGTCAATTTTTTACTTTTTTCGATCGTAGTTCATTAAGACAATATCTTCCAGTAGATAATTTTTGTTCTTTGGTTTCATCCACGGAGAAACCAGGAATCACTGAAGCAGTGGAGAGCCCTTTTTAACACCCTCGGAGATAGAAAAACTTTACTTTGTATTCTTTAACACCCAACAACAAATTTTAAAACAATTGCTAAAGTAGATTTAAGTTCTCAAAAATTTCCTTTTTTAGGTTGTCACGCCAGACGTGCCTCTTAAAGCGTTTGGCAGGTTTCTCCAGTATGATATATGTGTAACAATGTGTGTCAGTCAGAGGGCAGAAAACACGTGGACTCTTTGTAATAAATACATATATGAGAACATCATAGAAGCCTAAAACAAACTTTTGTTTATAAATTCCAAATTTAAAGATAGCTGTAATAAACGTAGACTATTATGGTACTCGACTTAGAGATAAAGCGCGCCTCTTGTCCTTTAATTGCCACTGTTTCTACTAGTTTGTCTCACACTGTATCCAATGGTGTGCTTACATGCTATTAGCAAAGAACGCGGCGATGCTCATTGTTTTCACCTAACCACACCAACTCACGTATGAGCAATGACAAATGCACAAAGAAAACTAAATAAAGCGCACAAAGTGGTGGAGTAAGGATGGAAATTTAATCGAGGATGCTCCACATTAAGTACGTGTTGCACTAAGTGTGGCGAATGTTTCTGCTTCTATTGCTTGGCCGGCTTACCATTTTTGCAGAAATCTACAATTTATCTTGAATCTTATGGCGTCTTTAATTCTGTCAGGCGACAACATTGTGATAGCAACAAAGCGTTGTAGGTCAGGGCAAGTGTGCTTGAGAAAAAGGCCTTTTTACCCTTTTCATGTGTAAAAATGTCGCGACATGTTCAATGAAAAAATTGCAAAAAAAAAAACAAATAGTGCGAAAACAAAGAAAAGAATTTGTTATATGTAAATGTGACGTGCAACGCGAGTTAGTGGGCGGCAAATACGCAAACGCGACTGATAACAAATGTTGGCAATGAGAGAGACAAGAATGCGCTTCTGACGGTTTGCATAACAAATGTGGACAAATGTAATACACGCACACACACACACACGCTCTCTACATATACGTAAAGTATCAATAAAAGAACGCAAATATATAACACTTTATGGGCATACACATACACACACATATATACTTGTAAATCATACATACAATCATCACCATAACACACATCCTTGCTGAAACCAATTTGGCTAACGGCAACAAGTCGCCTCTCTTCGAGTTTGGTACTGTTGCAGTTGTTGTTCTTGTTGTTATAGCGCTCAGCCTGCGCACATTACAAACCACAAACGGCAAGTTCATTCGGCGCATTTTTCTTTACCATATTCCACACTTGATTGCTGTCAACTTAGCAAGCCTAATGACACCGCCTCAGCAATTGTTGATCTATGGCATACTTACGAGCTGGCATTCAAACAAATGCACCAAACATGTCCACAAATGTACCCATATACGCATAATAATATACATGTATACATGATAAACCCTCTAACTTCGTCACACGTAAGCACGTTAGCCGTGTTGCACTAATGCTAAGTACGGTCGTTTATTACGTGTGCGTTGGTTTTTTGTAAGGGACTTCAGCTTTTTTGCTTAAATTTTGTTTTTGTTTTGGCACATCTTTTTCGACAAGTCTAAACAATCCATTCCGTTCATATTATTAGGCGCATTCGTATTTTGTAAGCAAGGTATGCGCCTAAATAGCAGAATCGATATTCTATATATATTGATTAGGTTCGACTTTGCTATAAATCTGAATCTTACATGAGAGCAGATGAAGGACTGAATACTTGCTAAATATATAGAAACTATGTATATGTAAACATCAGTGTTACAATAATTTTTGTCATGTGATTCCTTGTGCTTTAATATTTCCGGGTCGAAATGCTTCAATGAAGGGAGAACACGGTCTGATAAATTGACATTTTTTGCAAACTATTTGTAGAATGGGAAAATTCATAAATATAAAGTATATTTTTTCGAACTCTTTGCAGCTGAGCACAGTAAAACAGCTGGTACGTTCTTCACTTTTCAAAA